CAAAACTTGGCTGAAGCTTCTGGATCACGCTCAAGAAAAGTGTCTGGTGTGAACTGCATTCACTGAACTCACATGAACAAAGACATGTTCAAGTACACAGAGAATAGGAGAATGGTGTTACACCTTTACTCCAGTAAATGTTTATTGAAAGAATATTTTTTATGTAATTTACATTAGGTAGGAACAATGTTTAAAGGAACAGTTTGTCCACAAATATAAATTCTGTCATTGTTTATTCACCCTTATTTTAAACCTGTTAGAATGTGGGTAACGAAACTGGTCCGCACTGACTTCCATATGAAAAACTATTAAACATACAAAATTTTATATGAATAAAGAAAAGTTAATATGTTCAAGCAAAATGCCATCGAACTCTCTATGACGATCTTTACTTATTCTCACTTACTTTGCAACTGCTTTGGTTCTCTCTCTCTTTTATTAGGAGTTGCCAGGGGTTATTACATATTTTAAGTAAATGTTACTCTTGTACCTGTTTACTTGTTTTATAAATATTATGATATTGGAGTCTGAAGATTGAAATTGACAACATTATTTTAACATTAATTTGCTGTATTGGAATAACTGTAAGAACTTTCCCTATAGTTTTCTGTATTTATTATAAAATACACATATTATCTCACTATAATGTGGTGTGTTTTTAGAAATGTGTTTCTTTTAGCTGCTCCAAATTTCCTCATCCACATTTGCAGCCAAATTATAGTTTTTTTAGTCATAACAGTTTTCAACTATTAGCAATATTCCCATTATGGTTCGTAAACTTAATTTTGGGTGGAAAAATGACCAGTTTTTAATAATGATTTTTAAAAATCCAGTAAAGTTTTCATCAAATAGAATTCAAAAGGTATGTGATATATGTGTCAGGGCTCGAAATTGCGACCATTTTGGTCGCATATGCGCCCGAAAATTAATCGATGCGACCTCATAATATATTTGGGCGCATTAGTGCGACCTGTTTTGATTTTTTTTAAAAACGTGCTGAATCGCTCTTCCCTGCCGCTATATTGGTTCATATTAGCTGTCAATCACTCAAGGCTATCCACTGTTAGATGACAGGGAGGGAGCTTTTATGTCCACGGGAAATGCAAACGGCTAAAGTGTAAAAACTTAAAGCACACAGGTTTGCAAAGTGCAAACCCCACCTAAAGTTGAGACGCAGATGAGAGCGATCATGACACGTGGTGAATATTGATCCGCCAGCTGAGATCAATCGAGTATGTGCTTTTCGGAGAAGGTGGTCGAATCTCGATGCGTTGCATTCACTGCGTGTTCAGCGCAAATGTCCGCTAAAAGTCAAATCTAATACTGTATCATCGCCAAAGAAGCTCGCCTTTACTAAGTTTACACTGAAACTGCGTCTCATAACAAACAGCGGTATTGCGCCGGTGCTCAACCTGCTCATAAATTGGGTCGGCTGACTCGCCTGCTTTTCCACAAACACAGAAAAATGAAAATCAGCACAGACGGAACATTTAAATTGACACAAACTGAAACCAAAACTTTTAAAGAGTGATAGAAGTGAGACTTTACTTACTTTCTTTTGCCTATTCTTTCATGAGATGTATATATTTTTTTATTTAGTTACTGATGACTGTTTTGCAGCTTTTAGCCTTGAATTTAATATTTTATTATAATCTTTTGTTTGTTTTGCAGCTGAAATATTATTTATTAAACTGACATGCATATATATGCTGTTTAGCAGTACAAAATAAATATTTCTTACTGCAATGCTTCATTTTTGTTTGATGCAAACTATACATTTATTTTTCAGAAAGTAACAGACTTTTTATAGCAGATAACTTACATTCAAGCACATTCAAGGCAGCATGATGATGAGAAATGTAATTCATTGTTACTATTATTGTCATTTTCATCATCATTAAATTCTAGAATTATTAGACATACACATTTTGGAATTATTGCACACAAATATCAATGTCATCTCAGCATTAATTATAGTTGTTTCTGGTTTTTGTTAGTCCTAATTGATGTTGTTTTAAAATACAATATGTCCCTTAAAATACAATTTGCAGCGGTGCTCAATCATTTTTGGTGGGTGCTCCTAAATTTTTTCTGGTGCTCCTAAATTTTTTCTGGTGCTCCTAAATTTTTGAAGTTGGGAGCACCGGTGCTACCAAGTAAAAAAGTTAATTTCGAGCCCTGTGTGTGTAAATGTATATTTTTATAACGTTTTTGATATGAAATTATTCAGTAATTTAATCAAATATTTTTGACATACCTAAAAGCACATTTGAGTTAATCCGCTCTACATGTCTGTGCATCTGTAATTTTCTCTGTACATTTGCAGTGGCCGTTGTAATTTTTACAGCTCCATGCAGTGGTCCTATTCCGAGGGTCTCTTATGTTTCCAGAGCTCACACGACATCCTAATCCAAGTCATGTTCTTCATTAATTGGGTTACAAACATGCCACTACAACCACAAACGGCAGGCTGGTCATGTCCTTCTGATTAACTTCTTTTCGGTAATTAACGGGATCCTTCTGATGGCATTTAGGTTCACTGCGATGAAACGACGGCGTTTCTATCCCCTCTTCTTCATCTTCATCTTGTCTGTGCATGGCTAAATGTTAGATATTTGCTCAAGGGTTTTTGGAAATTCAATTATTTTTTTCAGTGCTTCTTATTTGTAACAAACATAATTTATTCTCCATGCCCCTTAAAATGATGTCCCTTTTATAGCTCTAAACAAACTCAAGTAAGTTACTTTCAAATAATATGGCTTTTATAAATGTGTGCAATAATATGAGGTAAATGTTTTTGACGAAATTTCTAGACTGTTTTTAGTTTTCAACCAAGGCTGTTTTGAGTGCAACAAAACATCTTATTCTTGTCATAGGACGTGATATGATCTTCTCCTTCGTATTCCAAAACTCTGTTTGCTTGGTAAATTCATCATCGAATGAAACGCTGCTTATGCGGGTTGACCGAAGCAAATGGACTGATGTTTACACACTTGTCTGTCAGGTTGGCTCCATGCGGCCTTATTGATATTCAGAAAACTGTTAAGACAT